CTCCGGGACACCCTCGCTGGTGCGGCACCCTCCGCCCTGGAGACACCCTGGGCTGCCGTGTGACACCCGGCGCTGTCCCGCTGCTGCGGTGCCCCGATAACACCGAGCGAACGCCGGGAGGAGCCGGGCCGGTTCAGCCCCTGCGATGCGCAGGCGCAAGTACCAAGTTCAACCAACGGTGATGAGAGGAAGACCCGCCGCCTTCACCCCAAGACCACCTCAAAAGAGGAACCCACCCCCTAGCAACAGGACGGAGTCTGCGTAGAAAGGACTAATGACGTCTAAAACGAGGAGGAGCCTACTGAAAAAGAGGAAATGGCAAAATATACACGAGGCGGACTCTAAACTCGCCGACCGTCGGTGGAGCGGAGACTCCCCGGCCGCCCAGCGCTGCTTTGCTCATTTGTCATAAATAAGTTTTATCTAAAACGTGAAAGATTTTTGGTCTCTTTGACTATAACGATTTTGGATCCAGACCCTCTGTGCTGCGGGACTCCATCTCCAGACGGTCCTGGAGAGGGCCTCCTGAGGTACACATTCTGGATATCCGACCGAGATCTAAGGCGAATGAGCAAAGGAATACACTGCAGTTCCCCGTAAGATCCGAACGACGACTCAGGAGTGAGTAAGTATTTATAAACGGTTCCGTTCGGTCGGGGATTAAGGATTCCCGGAGTGCAAACGATTGAGACCTGCTTTGGGAGTGTGGACCTTCTAGTAGTGCGGTTCTTATAGCCCGCGAGGGCGTAAGCCACGAAAGAAGGGAAATGAGTGTGTTTCCTTTTGAGAAAGTGCTAACAGATTTTATTGAGCTACCTAAAGTAGGAAGATATCGATACCTACTAGTGTTGGTAGATCATCTCACCTGCTTTGTAGAAGCTTTCCCTGTAGCAGAATGTACGGCCAAGACCGTGATCAAAATTTTATTAGAAGAAATCATTCCAAGGTATGGTACCGTGGCAGTGGTAGATTCGGATAGAGGACCGCATTTTACTTCTAAAATAATTAAAGAAACAGTAGAGCTTTTTGGAACCAAGTGGGAGTATCATACTCCTTGGCATCCACAAAGTTCTGGTAAAGTTGAATGGATGAATGGAGAAATAAAGAAACATTTAACTAAATTAATGATTGAAACTAAAATGAATTTAATAAAGTGTTTGCCATTGGTCTTATTATACATCTGAACCCAACCACACACTGACATGGGAATTTCACCATTTGAAATGATGTATGGAATGCCATATAATTTCGGAACCCCAATGGAAAATCCAAAAGTAGAAGATGCCCTTTTAAGAGAATATATAATTGAATTGATGAAGAGGAGACAGGAATTGAAAAAGAAAGGACTAGTAACTCAGCGACCTCCCTTAGACATATCTATACATAAAATTCAGCCTGGAGATCAAATATTAATCAAAACCTGGAAAGAATCCTCATTGACCCCTCGTTGGGAAAGACCTTTTGTTGTTCTTCTTACCACAGATACAGCAATCCGTACTGCCAAGAGAGGCTGGACTCATGCAACCCGGGTCAAGGGACCAGTAGAACTGCCTCCCACAGAATGGGCTGTAACATCTGAACTGGGAGATCTCCGAATGAAGATAAAGAGGACAAGGCCAGCGGATCAATCATCCCAGAAGGGAAGTAAGAAATAGTTTATATCAATGGTTCCAAATACCTCCTGGAAACACTTTACGAGAGGTACATTTTGCACCTTGGAGTAGAGAAAGGATACCTAATCAAACAGGAGGGGCTGGACTATACAAGTTGACAGGAACACCTCACGTCTTCCCTTTGTGTTGTGAAATAGAAACAGAAGTATCTGAGACCCCCAGAATAGAAAACATCTGGGGGATACCTTGCATAAAACACCCTACTTCTGGACATTTAGGTTGGGTTGTTTGCAAATTTATTACAGTGTAATAAAGAGTGGTCCTGTGTTTCAGTTAAAAGACAACCTTACTGTGTGCAATGCCGAGATAACCCGATACCTGCTAGGGGACAACGGGCTGAAACAGAAATCTGTAAATTGTTTTGTCAATACCACCGGGACAAACTGGAAACTAAATTACAATTTGCAAAAATGAGTAAAGTTCCAGTGATCATAAGTTTAATATATATAACACACGCAATTGGAAGCGAAACACAGCAGCCTTTTGAATGGACCCTTGCCAGGTGGAGCGATCAAAAAGTAATTGGGCGAAATCTTACAGCAGGACCTCCTAGCTTCTCTGTTACACTGTGCCAAATGGTACCTCTACAACGTTGCTTAAACCAGAAGCCTTATTATTTGTGTCCTGCATCTAATCCAGGAAAGGGGTATTGTAACTCTCGTAATCAATATTATTGTGCATATTGGAAGTGTGTCACTATTGCTTCTGCCTGGGTCCCTACTGTCCGAGATAAATACCTAACAACGACATGGGGACCACCAGGCTGCAAGCATCCACAAGTAGATTTGTCTGGGGGATCCATAGGATATAGTAATTGTACTCATATAATCCTCCAGGTAATGCAACCAGAAGACCCAGGATGGCTGATAGGAAAGACTTGGGGAGTCAGATACTGGGAACCTGGAACAGATAGAGGGGGTTTAATTTTGATTAGAAAAGGAAAACCTCAATAAGAACCCTAGCAGGTGGGACCAAATAATATTTACAAATATTTAACGAAAGCAAGGAATTTTGTATACAGATAACGGTAATACCCCGAATCCTTTACCATTCAAAAGAATCGGTCCTTGAACATTGGGATGGTAATAAACACAGAATACAAAAATGAGAACCACTTACTGCCATAACTATTGCCATGCTCCTTGGTCTGGGAACAGCAGGGGCAGCAACTGGAATTACATCCCTCGTCCAACAAAATAAAGGCAAAGACAGGTAATTTGCTGATCAAATAAAATTTGTAATGTTGTAGTCCACGATTCACTTAGATTGCAAAATGTCAAACTGCAATATTATGTTACCATGGCAAGCTATATATCCTGTTATGTTAGCTATAAACCTTAAATGTACTTATAAGGAGGAAATGCATAGAGTTACAGAAGAAGGACAAAAGGTACAGGCGCAAGTACCAAGTTCAACCAACGGTAATGAGAAGAAGACCTGCCGCCTTCATCCCAAGACCACCTCAAAAGAAGAACCCACCCCCTAGCAACAGGACGGAGTCTGCGTAGAAAGGACTAATGACGTCTAAAACAAGGAGGAGCCTTCTGAAAAGGAGGAAATGGCAAAATATATATGAGGCGGACTCTAACTCTCTAAACTCGCGGACCGTTGGTGGAGCGGAGACTCCCCGGCCGGCCAGCGCTGCTTTGCTCATTTGTCATAAATAAATTTTATCTAAAATGTGAAAGATTTTTGGGTCTCTTTGACTATAACAAGGACAATTGTGTCCTGCCACATCTAATGTCACCTGCAGCCGGGCCGTGACAGGGGGACTGCAACTCCCGCGTGCTCCTCGGCAGTAGGACTACAGTTCCGCGTGCTCACCGGCAGCAGGGACTAGCAGTTCCCGGCGTTGCTTGCCTCGGCAGCCAGGACTAGCAGTTCCCGGCGTGCCCGCGGCGCCTCGCGCGCCCGTCGAGGCGGGAGGCGCGAACCCGGAAGCCCTCAGCCCGGAGCCCTCAGCGCTGGCCGAGCGGGTCCCGCCGAGCAACGGGGCCGCAGCCGCCCAGCACCGCCGCCGCCGGGCCTGCCCAAGGAGGTACGAGACCCCCCGGTTCCCCGCTGCCCCTCGCCTCCCCTACGGGCCGCGTCCCGCCGAGGGGCGGTGCCCGGCCCTGACTGTGGCCTTCCTTCTGCTTTTGGCCAGGCTCGGGCGGCGGCCGGCGGAGCGCACGTGCCGGGTTCAGGGCGCGGTGAGTCGCGCCGGGCGGGGCGGTGGTTCCTCTGTCTCTCCCCACGGCGGCCGCTCGCACGGCCCGCGCAGCGGGGAGTGTTTTTCCTTGGAGGGAGAAATCGCTCCTTCGCTGAGGTAGTGCCGGCCCCGCAGTTTAGCTCCCCTCCTGGGAGCTTGTAAAAACCAAAGTTTGATTTTTTATTTTCGCTTCACGCTGTAAATCTCCGGAGTGCTGTAGGATGTGCTATGGAGCAGCCTAATGCTACATAGACCGATCCCTGTCTTACTTAAGCTCCCCACTCCCTGCCCAGGGGATATTTTTTTTCCTTTTTTTCTCCTGTTTTATCCAGCAGCACACACACTATTTTCCCATTCGTGCCCACAGCACTGTAGTGTCTTATCCAGGGCTGAGTTGCTCTTAAATATCTTCTGTGCTCTACAGGTCCCATCTTCAAGCTCCTTCCAACCTAATGGAGCCAGCGAAGCAGCCCTGAGGTGTGAAATTGAAGAGCTGAAAAGGAAAGACCTTGCTCTAGACCAGGAAATTGCACAGTTATTGTCCGAGTATGTCCTTGGCAAGCTCAATGTTCACTGTGTTGCCTGAATTATCTTTGTTTTTAAAACAGGAATTGGAGCTGAGAGCTGACCTTGTATGATGACATTGTTGTTATGGTGCAATGTTGGTTCCAGTGTTGTTGTGAGTGATGGAACCTGAGGGAATTCTTTCCAATTTATTTAGTAAAGCAAAGCATGTTTTACTAGGACCTTGCATAAGAGGATTTTGGCTTTATCCTGTATGTTCCTGAGGTAATTACATGTTAATTGGGAACAGATAATTTCAGCCATTTGTTGTTTGTTGTGAAGGAGTGATATTTTCCAAGATAAGTATAGTGCATAGGATGGAAATGGTAAAACAACAAAGGCCATTGTAAAACCCTTTTTGGTTTATCCTTAAGGGTAAACAGACCTTTTAGTGACAGGACAAGAGGAAATGGCCTCAAGCTGTGCCAGGGAAGGTTCAGGTTGGACATCAGGAAGAATTTCTTCACTGAAGGGATTGTCAGGCATTGGAAGGTGTTCAAGAGATGACTGAACGTGGCACTCAGTGCTCCAGTCTAGTTAATATGGTGGTGTTTGGTCAAAGGTTAGACTTGATCTCGAAGGTATTTTCCAACCTTAATCATTCAATGATTCTGTGATTCTTAATTTTTTTTCACTAGCTAGAGATTAGAGATACATATAAATGGAACTCACCACAGCCTTCTCCTGTTTCTACTTGATTCTGAGAACTTGAGTGAATTATCTTGATGTGGCAAAAAAAACCCCTCAAAATAAGGGTTTTTTCAAAATAATCTGCTCGTTTGGAGCTTTGATGTTTATGACTTGCAGCAACTGCACTTGCTGCCTTCAGTTTCTGCTTTTGAGGTGCCAGGGTTTGGTGTCTCCCACAGCAGCAGGAACCCCCAATCCCTCTGTGCCATTTGTGACCTTTCTGGTGTTCTCTTACAGAGGCTACAGCCTGGGGGAACTGGAGAAGCACATCTCTCTGCTCCATGAGTACAATGAAATCAAAGATGCTGGGCAGATGCTGCTGGGCAAGCTGGGTAAGGAAGGGGAAAGCTGTTGGAGAACTCCTTAGTTGGTGTTTTCATACAGACACAGAGAGAAGCTGCTGCACCACGGAGGCAGAGCTTGTGTTACAGACTCTAGGCTTGTATTACTCAATCATTGTGCAAGCACAAATGCTTCTGTTGTTGTTTTCTTGGCGTGTTTTCAGGACTGAACATGGGAAATAATTGTTATTTACCAGTATTTTAGTCTCTGCTGTGGATTACCAAAATTTGAAAAGTCTTACCAATTTTTTTTCAGTTTTCTTCTTCATATGCTTAAAGAAAGCAAAGTGTTGAGACAAGCAGGCAGCACAGCTGCAAAACCTTGGGTTGGTTTCTTGGCTGTGGGAGGTTGTGTGGGGTAGTTAGGGCAGGAAAACACAACTTTTCTTACTGATCTGATCTATTTTTGATAAAAGCAATGGTATTTTTCTTCCTAGCTGTTATCCGAGGGGTCACTACAAAAGAGCTTTACCCTGAATATGACTTGGAGCTCAGTGACTAGTCCTGAACCTGGAGGCTGCCACATCCTGCAGAAGTGACTGTCACTGGGCACACGTGTTGGTGTCATTCTGGTTTGGAACAGGCAGAAGGTGCCCTCTGAAGGATTTTTAATTTAAATGTAGCATTGCCACAGGTGTAGTTTAACAGGCTTGTTCCTAAGAATCTTTGGAACGTGAAAGTTGTTGAATCTATCAACTGTTTTCTGCTGTTGAGAAAGGGATATAGGACTTGGGTTAATTTCATCTACTACCTGATCAACGAGATTTTTATTTTTTTAATTGGTAAGGCTGTAACTCAGGTTGATGTTGAGACCCTTCCTATGAAGCTTTTGTTTCCCTGCTACATCCTGGGGCTGTTTGGTTACTGAATGGATAGAGGAAGTGAGGACATACAAATGTCCAATGTAATAGCTGCTTTGAAAGGAAAACCCTCAGAAGCATGGAGGGAGGGCTGAAGTTGTGGTGGTTTGGGGGTTTTGTTGTATGGTCAAATCCGGAGAACTCTGGGTGTTCTGCATTTTTGTACTTACCTGCTCTGGTATCTGGAGGTTTTGTATAATTTCTGTAGTAAAATGGCAAAATGTGAAGTTGTGTTAATTGTCCAATCTGAATAAAGCAGCCTTCACATTTCTCAGTAATTCATTTTAAGAGCCTTTAAAACATTACATGAACCTGGGAACAAATTCTAAAACCATTCTCAGACAACTCTAACATCTGTTATTGAGATGTTTTCTGTCCATGACGACAGGGTGGCAGCACTGCCCAGGAATGGGCAGGTGCAGAACCACCTTTCTCTGCTCTAAGTGCAGAGTCACTGAGAGCGAGTGCTGTCCTGGGCAGTGCTGATGTTGGGAGCACGAGTGTTTCAATGTCAGTGTTAGGGTGACTGCACAGACTAAATTTGGCTGCCTTGGGCAGTTCTAAGTGATGAAGTGCTCTGGTGACTGCAGATCCCTTGTCCTTTTTTCACTCAGGCTTGATGTCCTTCTGCCCATTTCTGCTTTCTAGGACCTTCTTGCCCAGTGAGTTTCCTCTCTAGTCTCCAGTCAGACACATGCTGCAGTCTGCTTGTTATTTCCAAATCTGAATCAAATTAATCTTTGTTGTGATTGGCGACTAGGAACCAGTCACAAGGCTGCTGCTGAGAACAGAATTGGTTTTGTGCTCTTGGCTCTGGACCTGGCACAGAAACATCACTAATTAGTATCTTGTTTTGCCTCAAAAGCTGTGGGGAGAGGTCTCGAGCAGGGGCAGAGCCAGCCTGTGTATTCCATGATTCATCCAAGCAGGTCTCTGCTGATGTGCAGCTGTGCAGTGTATTTACTGTGCCCAGATCAGAATGGACTCCCAGGGGAATGGTTACAGGTATATCCCACACTCCTCTGCCAAGGGAGGAAAACTCCCATGTTTTGGAGTAGTTTTAAGGGAAGGAAAAAGTCACAAGAAGGCAAGAACTGGGAAATGCAAACTTTGTTATTAAGGCTGCTATTTTGGCTGGTATTTTGTGTGTGGAAGAACTGGTTCAGCCTGGAGTGTTCCAACCAAAATGTTCCTCTGGCAATGGCACGTGCAACTGGAATTTGGTTTTGCAATGGGAAGTATGTATGGGAATTCTTCAGTTTGTGTTATGTGTGAGCTGTGGGGATGAAGTATAGTCCACTGGAAAGTTACTGAAGGTTATTTAAGGAGTGAGAAGTCCATGTTTTCTTCCCATCTGTGTAGCAGCACTGGGACTGAAACTTGCAGCTGTAGCTGTGCAAGTGTCCTGCACAGGGGTTACACTTCAGGTAGCACAGGGCACAGTGCCTGGGGAAGGTGCCCTGATCCCACTCCCTTGTCCATGGAGGATAAACACCCACAGTACAACATGAAGTAAGAGCAGAATGTCCTTGGGGAGTCCCTGCTGCTGGCACGGTGGCTCTGCCACGCGGTGGCAGCTGCGTTCCACGGCTCTTCCGGCTGCTCTGTGCAGGGAAACCCACCACTGAGTGATTCCAGGGACTAAATGATTCCTGGGATACTTCAGGACAGGACTGCACAGTTGTCATTGAGGTACTTCATCGTGGCCCCTCCGACTGCCCTTCCCAGAGCTACTCTTGTACCTTCATGGCTGTCACCTGGAGGATGAAATACGCTGGCTTTTGCCCAAGTCCAGGAGAGGAACAGAACAGATCTGCTTTCTATAAATAAACCTCCCAACTCGCTAACTAAGTGTAGAGCTGGAAGAACACTGAATGCAATAATGGTAAGTGTAATTCACATTTTTAACTTAAATTTAGAAAGTGTATTTCTGCTAAGTTAGGCCCAGCTATAACGAGCTGACAGAGACCAAGTGGTGTCACAGAGCTCACAGAGTTTCACCAAAGGGCAGGACATGCTGTCTGCACAGGGCTGCTGCAGAGCAGGATACCAGAGACCCCTCAACACCCTTGGCTCCTCAGGGAAAAAAAAAAAGAATTCAAAAAAAGTAGCACATACTGGGATTTTTTATGAGTCAGTGTATTCATGGATGAGTACTGAGCCAAGAACCAGCCTCTTCTTCCCCTTTAGGTCACTTGCAGTTTTATTTCTTGTGTCTCCTGTGCATCAGTCCCCATTACAAGCCATTTCTCATCACACATACCTATTCTGGATATAACCATTTCCTTGCATTGCTTTGGGTAAGCTGTTTTCTCCTGCACATCCCTCATTTAGCCTGATCTTGAGTCTTGTGTCTGAAAGCAGGGCTAATGGAAAGAAAACACTCTAAGGCAACAGAGGGAAAATAAAATCCATATAGTAGATAAGTTATGCTGCCAGTTGCAAGGAACAAATCTGTGCAGTCAAGGGAATACAGCTCTCTGAGACGCTATTTCCTGCTGCTAAACAATTTGGGAATGGGCTTTTATATCCCTTAGCAACCTAATGTTCTCAAAGTCAACAGGAATTTTGGCACAGCTACCTCCCGTTTAATGAACTGTTTGTGATGCTTTCAAAAAACTGATACAGCCTGTCACTGGGAAAAAAAAGAAAGCCTCTGATTAAAGTCATCTCAAGGAAAGGGTGGAAGTGAACTGCAATTAACCTCTTTCCTTCTGCTGTCCATCAGGGATTGCTGCAGGGATTGCTCATGGATGTCCCCCCTCAGCACTCTCAGCCGTCTGCACATCCAGCTGATGGACAGGACTGTTATCCCGATGTCCCAGTGTTTTCTCTATCTCTGTTTCCACTTTAAGCTGACAGTTCCGAATGGCGTCCTGGATACTCCGCAGGTCCCACTGGGTTCTGGGCAGGGCATCGTCCAGCGTGAAAACCCCGTCGCGCGTTCTCCGCACGTGTGTGCACACGGCGGAGGATTTCAGCTCCAGGCCGATCTCGTGAACCACCTTCCGGAGGTACTGCTGGGTCTCATGCAAGCAGTGGATTTCTAGGAGGACAGAGAGGTTCCTTCAGAAGCAGCAAAGCTTTTGACACAAGCTCAGACTTTGTAAATCCAGACCTCACTTGCAGTTAGGCTGAAAGAACTGGTTTGGCAGAAGGCACTATTTAAGATACAGCATGGGTGGATTATGATTTTCTGGAATACTGCAAGGTGTCTTAGCCTCACCCAGAGTGAATACTTTAGGAAAACAAGCCCATAAATACAAGAGAATAATGTAGAAATTTAGGTATTTCAAAGGTGAAAATAAAAGGCACTTTTTTAATAAGGCAAATAGTTTGTGAGGAGAAGGAGACTGGATGCAGGAAAGCAAACCATGCTTTAAAAAACCCCAACAACCCAGCACTGAAATGCATTGCACTAAATCATTGGGATAAGAAGAATTTTGTCCTTTAGGTATTCATGATGCAAATTTTCTAGCCTCAGACTTTGATCTGGAACTGGCAGGGAAATTAACTGGGTATACAGCTGGATGGATTTACAAGAGCAGCTTCAGTAGTGTGAAGATTCCAGATCTTCCCCTACCAAAGAATCTTTCAGCCACCCTGAAGAGTTCATCAAAAGAGGAGATGCTTTGGTGACTTTGGAAACTACAAATCCTTCAAATTTTCTGCAGGGATTAGCAGTTACAAGCTGATGAGAAATTCCCACCAAGTTATTTGGCATTAAACCACAATTCAGAAACTGAATTTTACCAACTTATTTGCCATAACACAGAGTTCCCCAGGGCATTCTGGGCCAGTCCTACCTAGCTGGAATTCTGGAAGTGCAAACTGGAGGCATCGGATCGCTGTGATTATCGGGGGGCTTTTATCCATGGGACGAATCAACCCTTTGACAGCCAGCTCGTAAGCCTCTTGTGTTTTCATATCAATGTTAGAATACCTGGAAAAACAAAAAAGGGGGCAGAACAGGCATTTAGTACTTCACTCCAATGGGATTCAAAATATCTCCACCCCCAACAAAGCAGAGCTGCAGTTTTTGTTCTTGAAACTGCCTCTCTGTTGAGTTTTTGCATATATTTTAATACTGTCAGTAGTGTAGCACAGTTTGGGAGGGAGGTACCTGGTCATGTGTGCAAGATATTTTTGTCAGCCCTAATGTAGCAAATGGTCTAAACTCCCAGTAACTCCTCTCTGCCCCTGGCAAGCATTCCAACCTTTAAAGACTTCGATTATGGGAAACAAACCCCTCTCGTTTGTTTTAAAGACCAGCAAATGGCAGTGGGATCAGGTCAGCTCATTTCCCCCTTGGATACCCACATCAGCAGGGCCTTGTGATTTGTCCCTTGAATGACAGCGAGAATCCGTTCCAGCTTCTCCCTTGTGATATGATCTGCAAATATTAAGGCAGAAACAAAGTCTCAATTATCCACCCAGAAACTGGAAAGAGAGAGCAGCCTGAAACGTGCCACCAAGGTATTGCTGTCCCTTGGGCAGTCACATCAAAAGGGGCTGATGAGAGGTGGCCTCAGCAGAGCCACTTTCTCTGGCTGCACATGGAGCAGCACAGCACTGGACTGGCAAAGGGAAGAGTTACTCTGCTTAATTGATTTCAAGATGTCGATGCTCCAGTTTCTCTTATCGGGTGTTTGAAGAGTTTCATTCAATGAAAGCTTTTAACTGCTATCACCAAGTGTGATTTACAGAGATCTGGGTCTTGACCAACCCAGTAGCAATGACTGTGGCCAGCACTTATACTGGCTTTTATATTTTATATTGTGTTATATTTAGAACAAGTGGACTACAACATCTATAACAAACAGAAACCATGTAAGGAGCAGCTTTTGTTGTGCAGTTCACCTGGTTAAATGCTTTGCAGTTAGTGTGCTGTTTGGTGTTCTGTATTTTAAAAAAAAACCAAACCACATAAAATCAGTTTCTTACCAAATGTTGTCTTCTCTATTAGCTTCCCTGTGTCTGAGAAATCATCAGTGGCTTTACCAAACAGCCCACCAACAGTGTAAACCTGGAAGAAAGGCAAAGAGCACAGTTTAATCAAAGAAATACTCCCAGCAGTTGAGTAGCAGTGTTGTGCCATGCAGCTGCGAGGAGTGCAGGCTACGAGTGTTGCACACAAAGACAGCAGCACTGGGGCTCTAAAGGCCATGAGTGGATGCTCACAGGAAGGGCAACATTCTGCACCTTGAAAAGCTCTCAAAAGCGTTGGTGGGCTTGAGACTCAAGAGCAGAACCACCATCACAAAGTCCAGGGCACTGGGGTAGGACCAAGGGTATAATCACCCTCCAGTGTTCTGAGGCCGTTCAGAGCCAGCACCTACCTTGGTCAGGTGGCAGTTGTACAGGTCAGTGAGCAGCTTGTTCCCATGGCCAATGCCAAGCACTGAAACACAGAAAATGGGGAACCTGTTATTGAGCCACTCATGAAGTCACTGATCTGCATTTATAGAGCACTGCACACTCACACCACTCTTTCCCCTGGACAGGGATGTATCTCCTTAGGAGTCATGTCTGAGCAGTGCAATTAGACCCCCAAATGGTTGCCTGTCATGAAAATTTTAAGGCTGTAACCAGAGTTCTTGGATTTCTCCGGAACTTTACAGCTGGGTACTTGGGCAAAGACTCAGCAGTGATACAGCAAAGCCAGTTCAGGTGGTAGAGCAGAGATGGGGGGTTATGTGGCAGTTCAGGAGCTTGGAGTCCCCGAGCAAAGCCCTGTGTGCTGGGGGTGAGGGGTCGCTGGGCTGTGAGACCCGAGGGCTGACACTGTGCAGTGGCTGAGCTTCCACCACTTCTTCCCCCTGCAGAAACCCATCACCTCGCAGAAATTGGTGCCACTCCAGGATGAGACCCACCGAAGACTCCTGAAGCCTTCACGTCCAGCCGGTGACCCGCTCCGATCTTCAGCCGCCTGAACCGCGGGCCTTGGACTGCAACGGAGACAGCGGGAGGTCAGTTCACAGAGCCGGCCCGGGGCTCCCACCATTCCCGTGCTCCCACCATCCCCATGCTCCTACCACTCCCACCTCCCCCAGCCTTACCGAGGGGATGGTCGGCCAGCACGGGCACCCTGGTAGGCACCAGCTCCAGGGCCCCGCCGCCGCTCGGTGCCGGTCCGGTGTCGGTGAGCGATTCTCTGCCGCGGGGCGGGTCTGGGCGCCGCGTTTCAGCTTCTGCAAAGAGATGTCGGGGGCGGTCAGGGGCCGCGGCGACCCCGGGGATGGCGATGGGACGGTCCCCGCGCTCCCCGACGCGCTCACGCGCAGCAGCCCGTCTCCACCGCTCTCGGAACGCGGGCCACCAGGCCACCCCCGCGGCTTGTACACGGCGAAGAGCCCGGGCCGCCCCGCATGCCGCGCTCCCGCCCGCTCCGCCCCGTCGGGCGACTTCCGGGGCAGCGCGGAGGCCGGGCCGTTGATGCGGCGGCTTGCTGCTGCGGGCGTGGGGCGGTGCGGGGGGTCCACGCTGCTGCCCTGGCGGGTCCCGGCTCCCCGGGCGAGTGCTTCCCGCCGGCCCCACCGCAGCCCCTGCGGCGTTCGGGTCGGCCTTTCACCCGGGTCTGTCCCTCCCCTGGTCCGGTCCCTCGCCCGGTGCTCCCCGCAGGCACAGCCCGGCTGAGCCACAGCGATCCGCGGGGCTGGGATGGACACACCGGGGAGGAGGAGGAGGAGGAGGAGGAGGTGGAGGAGGAAGGGTGGCACCAGCTTTACCCTAGCCACATCCCCACCAGCCCGCTGCAGAAGGCGCTGCTGGCCGCCGGCTCCGCGGTCATGGCGCTCTATGACCCCTACAGACACGGTAAGCCCGGCCAGGGCAGTGCCTGCCAAACACGTCCGGCAGATCCCGCCCCGTGTCTCCTAAAAGCTTCACAGGAGTTTATTTCTCCCTCTGTTGGGTAAGACCTTTAGTTACGGGATAAGTGCAGGGCTGAGAGCTGGCCCAGGGCAGGAAGCTGTGGAAGAGAGGGGGTGAGGAACCCAAACACACCCTAGTGGCCTCCTCATGACTGTCTGTGATGCCACCCAGCCCTGTCTCATTCCTCTATGGTCCCTCAGGTCTCATGCCTGCACCTACCTCCCATCCCCAGGAAGGGTCATGGGGGTGACACCAGGGCAGAGTAAGCCCCTGAGGCTGAAGATCTGTGGTTTGTGGTGTCCCCACTTTGCCACGGGCTTCCTGCTTGCTCCTGGTCAATGGGTCCATTGCCTTATTTCCTCACCTGCCAACCTGGAACAGCTGGGTGTTGCAAAAACCGCTCTTGGGTCACTCTCTGGTCTCTCTTTCAGACATGGTGGCAGTCCTTGGGGAGACCACAGGCTGCCTGGCCCTGCCCAACCTGCGAGACAAGATGAAGCACCACCCTGAAGGTTACCGCATCCTCCAGTGCGTCCCTCTCATCCCTCCCGCCCTCACCCTGTGGGTCCTGTGGGGAGGGAGACACAACACCAAGCACATTCCTTGGGCCCTGTGAGGGGAGAGCTTGAAAGCAACCCAGGCATTTAGTTAGCTCTAACCCTCCAGGCTGTTTATTTCACTTTATTTTGAATGATCCCAGGAGCCCTGTGACATGTCTAAGGGCGGACGCTGCTGCCTGTCTGTTCTGCTTCACTGCTGGAACTGGCAGCTGCCAACACCAGGAGATGCAGCAGCAGGCGCAGAGGAGAAATCCATGGATGTGGATGCTAAGCAGCAATAAGAACCCACCACACCCATTGATTTCTTCCCTGTGCCTGCTGCTGCACCTCCTTGCGTTGGAGACTTCATCTCTGTTGGTCTGCCTCCTCCTTAGACACCTCCATATTTTCTTTCCCAGTGCCCAGATGCTGTGAAATGAGCTTTTGTTTCCTTGTTAAGACTCGATCACTTTTGCTTCCATGTCTGCAGGGACTTGCTGAGCACAGCCAGGCTGAAGGCCAGGAGGGATTTCTCTTATTAACCAAGCTTTCACTGTGTATCTGCTTGCCTTCTCCCTGCTCCCTGTCATGTGTCACACCTGCCTCTTGTGTGTTGTTTGGGTTGTGCCACACAGGGGCTGGGGAAAAGCTGCCTTTTGCCATATGTTTGTGCAGAGCAGCCTGATCCTGGCTCTGGATGTTGACCCGGAAAAGCATTAAGAGCACCAGGATGGGGCTGAGAGCCAGAGGAACTGCCGAGGGAGAGGGGACAGCAAAGGCACTGAGGGCTGGGGAGGGACATCCCCACTTGCTCCTTGTCCTGTGGTGTTGCAGGGATTTTTAGGGGTCCCATTTGTGCACACAAGTATTTTTTTTTTATCCCCCAAGCTTCTGAGGTCCCTTTCACACCAAATACACAAGGAAGTGTCTGCAGCCAGTGTGAAGCGGGTGCTAGTCCTGCTTATCTCTGTGGCACCTCTGCTCCAGGAGCTGAGAAGCTCCTGGATCCACTGCAGGGCTTTTATCATGGGAAGTGTTTACCCTGTCCATGGAAATAGGCTTTTGTTTACTTCCAGGGCTGTGAGGCACCTGTTTGCCAACAACGTGGAGAGGAGACCTTTCCATGTATGGCTGCCACGTGGCTGGTGGTGAAAGTCTGAGCAGGATTGAAATTAAACCTGTGTTTAGAACAAATTCCCTCCCCTCTTTAGGGCTGTTCCTTTGAAGCTCTGGCTGCTTTGCAGGGACACTAAAGAGCTCTGCTCTGCAGGGCTGGCTGTTGCTGGAGGCTGTGCCTGGCTGGCAGCACACACAGCAGCAGTGTTTCAGTGCAGAGGACACCGGTGTTTTTCCCACCAGAGCTGCTGCAGGGGCACGAGATGAAAACCCTTTTAATGCCAAGGCTTCAGGTAGATCCCTTAAGCAGTTTGTGTGCCAGCCTCAGCAACAGGAATGCAGACAGGGCTGACCCTGCAGAGAGGAGTCAGGATCCACACAAGGAAAAAGCAGAGGCATGGGATGGGGGTTTCCAAGGGCTCCTTTTCTCCAGGACCCCCAGCTGTGGGTTTCACTGAGGGTCTCAGTGACCTGTGTTTTGCTTTCAGGGAACGGCCTTGCATCCGTCTCTCCACCCTGGACATGTCCAGGCTGCGGGGGCTGCCGGATGGCTCGCTGGGCCGGGAGTACGTCCGGTTCTTGGAGGACAATGTGAGTGTGGGGTTTTGTGGTGTGCAGATTTCTGTGGCTGATCCCTGTGCTGGGAGCACAGGTGTGCTTTAGATGGAGATTGGAGCCACAGAGTTGAGTTGGACCTCTTTGGATTTGCAGAAGGTTTCTCCGGACACCCGGATGCCACCCAAGTTTGTTGATGATGAAGAGCTGGCCTATGTGATCCAGAGGTACCGGGAAGTCCACGACCTGATGCACACCCTCCTGGGCATGCCAACTAACATGCTGGGTGAGCAGCACGGGCTCAGGGGGCTGCACTGCCAAACACCACCAATGCTTCTCGGCTGCCTCTCCCAGGAATGGAGGCCTGTCGGACTCCTCGATCCTCAGCCCAGTTTGATGTGTGGGGAGGTTTGCATCATCACTGTCCTTCATCACTGGCTCTGTGGTGACCAAGAGGCCGTGGGATGTCACCTTTTCCCTGCTGGGAGATGCTCTGCCCAAGCCCTGGGCACAGGCAGCTGCTGGGTGGTTGCTGCCTGGCAGGGAGGGTGGCACAGAGGAAGGGATGTTTCGCAAGCTCTGTGTGAAGGCAGAAGGGGGCTCCTCGTTGCTCCTTCTCTGCACGTCTCCGTGTCCTTTGCCCTCGTTTTGTGTCTGACTCAACAGCAAGTCACAAGTGGAGTCTTACTGGTTCTTGTGGGAACTGGTGTGACAGGTCTCCTACACAGGCTTTGGCTGAGCCCCAGAAGTTTTTGTAAAAGGCCTGTCCTGGAGACTGCTGAAGATCTGCGGGGAGTTGGCCTGCCTGTTCCCCAAGCTCACAGGGTGCTGTCCCTTTAGGGTGGGTGGTTTGTGACAAGGCTTATCCTGGCACAGAATGAGGCCACGACCAGCCTTGGGAAGCATTCCCGAGTAGCCATCCTCAGGAAAGGCAGATGTGCAGCCTGCGTTGCAGGCCCTCAGGGCCCTGTCCGGCCCTTGACCCAGGTGTTCTGCCTGCTCATGGCCTCCCTGCTCCCTCCCAGGTGAGGTTGTGGTGAAGTGGTTCGAAGCCGTGCAGACAGGGCTGCCCATGTGTGTCCTGGGAGCAGCGTTTGGCCCCGTCCGTCTCAGCGCACGGTAAGTGCCTGGCTCTGCCCTGGGGATGTGCCAGCTTGGGTGGTGCTTCCCCACATCCTCTGGGGATGAGGAGGGGACACTGCTGGTTTGCAGGGGGGAGTCAGTCCGGGATCCCTCTTCCCCAGGGAAGCAGTGACAGCGGGAGGCATGGCTTTGCCTGGTCGCTAAAGCAGAACCTGATGCCTAGTCTGCATTCAATACCAACCCCCTGTGCCAGGCAGGAGCAATTTCCAGGCCTTGGCATGTGTTGAGGGCCAGCAGGACCCTCGCCACACTGACAGCTGTCCCTTGCCCCTGCACATCTGTTTTGGTGGCCCAGCAGTTGCAGAACCTGAGTTCTGGTCTTGGGTTTGGTGCTGACTGTAACCATCCTGGCACACCATCCTCTTCTGTGCCTCAGTTTTCCCTGTGAGTTAAACAGAGGGGATGATAGAAAGATAGAGGGATACATGAAACACGTGGGTTTGGCACCTGCCTGCAATGGGAACTTGGAGAAGGAAATCAAAACCAAAGTATGGATATCAAAACTGCCACCACCTGTATTGTTTGTTCCAGAAAGCTGCAGGTCCTGGCCACTGAGCTGGTGCCCTGGGCGATCCGGAGTGGGCTCAACGCCAGCTGTGTCCTGAATGTCTACTACGAGCAGCGCTGGGAGCAGCCAGTGGAGTCCCTGCGGGAGGAGATCGGCATCTTCCCTCCCCCGGCCGTTCGAGTGTGAGAGTTTAGGGAGGGCACAGGGGATCCCCGTTGTCAGACAACAGCCATTCCCTGCCCTGCTCCGTATCCTCCTGCCTGGGAGTGCAGCGTGGCTCCATGGACCTGAGGGCTGAGTTTTCTTCTGCCAAGAGCCGGCACCATCCTGTTGGTAGAGGCCAAGTGGCACCTCCTTTTGATGGTGCCCAAAACTGGACTTCTTTTGCTGTTTGTGATTTTGGTTCAGGGATGTCAAGCCCTGATGTGCCTTTGCCAGCTGGGTCTGGCTGCTCAGGTCCCCTGTAGCAGCATTCCAGTACTGATGCTCCCAAATGCTAGGATGGAGAGGGAGCATACTGCAGCAAACTGGTGCCTTGGCCTTCTGCAGCTCTGGGCCTGTGCAGGTAAATCCTTCCTCCTACCTTCCCCAGGAAGATCAAGGCTTAAAATCTTGGAGTTGTCCTGGACTCGAGCTAAACCAGTGATTTCCAAAGTAGCATAGGGGCAGGTTGGGTGTGTACAGTGGTGACATCTCATCTTGTACTGGTGCTTACCTGGTCTCCTGTTGGGTCATATGGGATGTTCTTCACTCATGCCTTGGAGACCAGGCAGTCTATGATTGTGTGCCAGGGGGCCAGGCAGGGAAATACTTTTGGATATTATCCCTGCTGGATTGGCTGTTTGAGAGCCAATCCCAGTCTGCTGTGTCTCTCTGTAGTCCCTTCCAATCAAGAATTATGAAATCCACATGATTGTACTGAGTTTTCAATAGGAATCATCCCCTCCTTGGGCAACAGTATGACACAATTAGGAATAAGGCTCCAGAGAGCTCAGAAATGGCAGCTGCTCGTGCTGTGTCTGGGAGCTGATTGCTGTCTGGGTTAATTAACAGGGCTCCAGACTGCCAGCAGTCAGGGAGCAGAGCTGCTGGATGTGACGGTAGAGAACCACCAGGCCAGGGGCTCTTTATGTGTGTGTGTTTGGTGTTGAAATTCCTTCTTGCTTAATAAAATCCATGGTGGAGCCTGTGGTTCGTTACCCCTCTCCTGTCCCTTCTCCCCTCCTGAGGGGGAGATCTGATGTGAAAGCTCACCTTTGTTTTGGCTTCAGCAGGTTCTGCTGTTCTCTGTGGTGGTAGATGATGTCAGGGCACGTGCATGGCCATATATCCCTGGGGATCAGGGCTCAAAATGGACTGTGGAACTGCGTCTTTCCAGCTGGGATTTGGGGATGCTGGGCTGTTAATTGGCTCCTTGTGATGATCATTACAGAAGGGCCCAGACAGGGGAGGATTGGGGTACAGAGCAGGAGGAGGCTGAGGGCTTCCTAAAGTGATCCTGGTTCCTTAGGGGGGAAGGGGTTTCTCTTTTGGTGGCAAATGGGAGACATGGAATTGCCCTGCTATCAGCTTCACTGGCCCTGTCCCAGTGTGGGATGCTGGAGCAGAGGGGCAGGAGCAGGGGCTGACAGGGTGACCAGGAGTTGCTCCATACCAGGAGATTGAGGAGGGGGAAAACTCTTGGTTTTCTACGTTTAAGAGCAGACCTGGGAACAGAGGGACTGGCTTCCTTCCTATACCCCCAGACTCCCTGTTTTTAACCTCTCCCTCTATCATCCCACCAGCCAGACTTTGGGGTTTTGTCTAAAGCCTCCCTTTGGTCCCCAGAGTTATTTCAAGCAGATGCTAAAAGACAGCATATAAACACAATCTTCAGCTGCTGGCAAAATGCACAGCGTGGGGGTTGTCCTAGTGCAGTGGCCGAGATGAAAGAAACATTTGCCTCTAAAATGACCCAGAAATGTGCTTTTCTGCATTGGAAACGTGTCAGAGCCTTGAGGTGGATAAACCGAAGGGCAGCAAAGCTTTGCTTCCAGAAGCTGTGAGCAGCAGTCAAGGAAACCGTGGGAAGTGATGGCCGCGAGAGAGGGTTTTGCTGCATTTTGGGTTATTTAGAGCGGCCGTGCAGCGCTCAGGCTGCCAGTGATGGTGGTGCCGCCTTCGCGCAGCCACGTGTGGCTCGGTGGGCTGGTGCCAGCGCTACAGAAATGGCTCGTCATGTAATTTTAAACGGCATCTGCTGAGCCCGGATCATGTAACGGCCTCCGCGGCTCCTG